CGTTCCAGAAGTGTGTTTTTCATGGCTTTAATCCTGTCAGTGGAGAGGAACAACATCATATTTGACTACAGCGATATCAAACATGATTTCCTTCTTTTTTGGTTTAATGGCAGATGGCATGAACACGAGGGATTTTGTGATCTCATGAGTCCAGCGAGGAAGCCATTCCACGGCCAAGACTCTCCCAGTGTTTCACTGGATCGCAGCAAAGTCGAGAGTAAACCATTCAGCTTGCGTTTCGCTCTGCTGATGGTTTTAGTGTGAATCAGGGGTGAGGAAGGCCGGGGAGACATTTCAGCTGTTACATGAAATACTTAAAAAGACAAACGCACAGCAAGTAGATGTTTTGCTTTCATTTCTACAATGGTACACTAGGGGGTGCTGAAAGGACGCCCAAACTGCCTAGTTCCTCTTTAAGTGGACAGTACGCAGCAGTAAATGGTGCTGGCACTTTTAATTTCTAGGGATTAAATTTAAAACCTAACCAAGCAGTCAGAAAATTTGAAAATGTGACATTATGAGCTTGTAACTGATTGAAAATATGGAGCTTAAAACATTTTTTCATTTAGAAATTGAGCACCTGCTGTTAGCTCATCAGGCCTGAAACACCTGATCTTCATTTCTCTGAATAAAGGTCAGTCAGGAAGCTAACAACAAGTAAGATAATAATTAGATATACATTTTATACAGGTCCTACCTCAAGTGGAGGAGTTTAAGTATCTCGGGGTCTTGTTCACGAGTGAGGGTAGGAGGGATCGGGAGATCGACAGGCGGATTGGTTCGGCGTCTGCAGTGATGCGGACGCTGAGCCGATCTGTCGTGGTGAAGAGGGAGCTGAGCCAGAAAGCCAGGCTCTCGATTTACCGGTCGATCTACGTCCCAATCCTCACCTATGGTCATGAGCTTTGGGTAATGACCGAAAGAACGAGATCGCGGTTACAAGCGGCCGAAATGAGTTTCCTCCGTAGGGTGGCCGGGCTCAGCCTTAGAGATAGGGTGAGGAGCTCGGACATTCGGGAGGGACTCGGAGTAGAACCGCTGCTCCTCCGGATCGAAAGGAGTCAGTTGAGGTGGTTTGGGCATCTGGTCAGGATGCCTCCTGGACGCCTCCCTGGGGAGGTGTTTCGGGCATGTCCTGCCGGCAGGAGGCCCCCGGGTCGACCCAGGACACGTTGGAGAGGTTACATCTCCAATCTGGTCCGGGAACGCCTTGGGGTCCTGCCGGAGGAGCTGGTGGAGGTGGCCGGGGAGAGGACGGTCTGGAGCTCCCTAGTTGGGATGCTGCCCCCGCAACCCGGATAAGAGGAGGAAGACGACAACATTTTATACAGAAATACTGTTAAAATAGGCAAAATAGATCCTTTCAGTGGTTTTAAAATTAAGAAAAATATAATTGCCAAAATCAAAGTTTGCTTCCTCACCCTCAATTTGTATTTTGGTCTAATGTGTGTTTTGCTATCTGTTCTTGCTGTAAATTTGATAAAGTAAAAACTGAGTATAAATAGAAATTCAGCTCTGGCTTCCAGTAATCCACGCATTAAAGTAATTTTAGACTCACAACTGCAGTCTTGTAAAACTCCGCATTAAAGTTATTTATCGCTGCAGCTGTTTAAGCAATAAGTGGAATGAGTGTTCAAATAAACGCCACAGGTGTCGTGATTATTTACATTATTCTGATGAATGGAGGTCAGATTGAAATGCAAACAAAAGGCCCGCAGTCTGCATTTGCAGCCATATAAGGATGAATAAAAATCAAGTAGGTTTAAATAAACTACAAAGTGAGATTATGCCAAACAAAACACAGTGAGATGATGAAAAAGCTAAACACATCCATTCATCAAACACAAAGATTAACGTTTTCACGAGCAGAACAGTCTATTCATCAGTAAATGTTGCCATGGAAACGTAGATTAATCTGATATGTGTGCACTGAGACTTTTAAGTGCTCCTGCGACACACACACACACACACACACACACACACACACACACACACACACACATACACACACATACACACACACACACACACACACACACACACACACACACACACACACACACACACACACACACACACACACACACATACACACACACACATACACATACACACACACACACACACACACACACACACACACACACACACACACACACACACCAAGCATTTGCTGTTCAATAAACAGTACCAAGAAAGGTCCGCAGGTCCTGGCTACTGGATTACAGTAAAAGGACCGATAGTTTGTTCAAGCAGGCGGTGATTGTCCACAGAGATGATCCTGTTTCAGCTCATATTGTGTGTCTTCTGCGGACACGATGCTTCAGTGTCGGGTACTGACTCATGGAGGCGGAGTGGATGAGTAACATAAGGTGCATTGTAATACAACAAAATGCCGGCATATCTGTTGACTGTATTTTACTGATGTTTTATTTAAAAAGCCTTAGCTAAGTGCATCTTAGCTGATACATCGTGCTGGTACTGGATCCCCTTCAGAACCACCCTTGCAGAACTTCTTCATGTCACACATTGAACATGGGTGCTGAAAACATCCCTCAGAAGTTCTGGTCCATGCTGACATGACAGGAACACACAGGCCAATCCATGATGAGAAAGTCCCACCACATCTCAAAGGTTCTGCACTGGACTGAAATCTGGTGACTGTGGAGGCCGTTTGAGTCCAGTGAACCTATGATTGTGTTCTAGAAACCAGTTAGAAATGATCTGAGCTTTGTGACATGGTGCATCGCCCTGCTGGAAAATGGGTCCATGTGGTCATAAAGAGATGAACATGGTCAGCAACAAGTAGGCTCTGGTGTTTACAGTGTTGGGCAAGTTACTTCAAAACTGTAATGCAATACTTATTACTTGTTACCCTCATTTTTAAAGTAATTCATTACATTACAATATTACTGATTTTAAAATGTAAGGCATTACACTACTTTTGCATTACTTTCACCAATACAACTTCAGTATGAATCTGGTCATGTGACGCTCAGTGAGCTCATATGTGGAAGGTGATGTGGTGTCTGAGCTAGGATTGCTGTTAAAAACAGTCAGATATAATAACATTGCTTTAAAATGATTGTTTATTAAATAAAAGCAACAACAATCTGTATTCTCAGCACGCTGCCATCTTATATTAACTGATCAGGGAGTGAGGTGGTGGGGGCTCCAAGCCTATATTTGCCTTGGTCCCCAAATGCCTTGATACGGCCCTGGATGTGGGACTGACTTCTGGGATGATCTGATTCTATCACATGTATAAATATTAAATGCTTATATATTATTGCTTTTCACTGGTAAAATGTGTATTGGGGATAAATCTACCAACTTTTTTCTTTTCAAGCACTTTGTTTTGTTTTCTTGATTTTATTTGAATAATTTCCGGCCCTTTCTCTCTCTAACCTTCCTGCATGCTGCATGTTTTCTCCGTCTTCCAGAAAAACTGTTTCCTAGATTTCCTACTTTCTAACTAATCAGTCAAAGGGATCTACCGAACAAATAAAAGCTGCGCTCCAGCAGCAATGAGTTGAAATCACCGGGACACAGATTATGAACGCAGCTGAAAAGTACATGAAGTACCAGAGAATATGGGCCGATATAAACGATCACAAACGAATGACTTTGTTTTGGTGGAGCGATTTTGTGAATATAACAGCGGCAACGCGCAGGACGCAGCTGGAGTATTTGAGCCGTTACCGCTGCGTCCTCTCTGCTCACAGAATGCCCGCAAAGCTGAGTCCATAAATGACGTCATATATGTGGATACTGGATCTTTTTTCAGGCTTCCCGCAATTAGAATTTTTAGGAAACCCACATCTTGATTCTGGGTTTAAAAATGCGTTGTAATTACCGCGTTACTGACAATTGTACCGAGTAAATATTACCCTTTTCTTTCCCTGTAAGGCCTTACATTACCACATTACAGCAAAAAGCAATGCATTACAGTAATTAATTACTTTTGTACCGCATTACTCCCAACACTGGGTGTTTAAATCAGCTTCAGGTGCACTACAGGGTCCTAAATGGGACAAGAACATCTCCCCAACACCGTTACACCATCAGTAGCTGAAATCCATCCAGTCTCATCCGTCCAGGAAAGACATTTCCTGGACGGATGAGACTTTTTCAGCTGATGTGACAAATGCAATGCATTTTGGGTATTCCTGACAATTTTAGTTGGTGATGAGAGCAAAGAAAGTACAAGAAAAAGGTAGAAAAGTCTATGTGGACTTTAGACTTAAGGACTGGTGTTTTTTTATACTTCTGAAACTCCTTAAAGTGTGAGCACTTATTCTGTAAACCAGTTTGTGATATCCAGAGAGGAAGCCACGAGTGCTGCATTGGCTCACTGCTAGCCCTCAGGTCATGTATGGATCTATATTATTTAATGGCCTACTTAGCTAAATGGCTAGGGTATCCATTCAGTCCTGTTTTTTTCTCTTTTTATAGCTAAAAGAACCGTGCTATCGTACCGTGCTCTCCTCTTGTTTCCTTACCTCCACTCATCATCCAAGATGGCGCTGGTGGTCGGGTTAGTCACGTGGCTGGCTAAGACCGATTTGTGTTGAGTTACTGAACAGGTGTACCTAATAAAGAGACCAAAAGGTGCTCGGATGAGTGCTTGGGATCGTAAATCTGTGTTCCAGGCTCGAGGTTAAAAGTGTTCAGCAACTGCTGGATTCCCGGGACGTAATAAAAACACAAGGGAGAAATTTGTGAATCATTTTGATTTCTGCTTCCAGATATCTAGTCAAACTAACTGAGTTTCCACCACTTGCTGATTTTGTGCTAATTGAGTAATTTCTGTGGTAATATGATGCTATTACACCAAATTAAGACGGAGAACATGAAACACTTTTCCTTCAAAACCAAAACAGGTGATGTATGTAGCTCAAGGCTCTGGCGTTTCTCTTTACGGCCGTTAAAAGTTCCTTCTCCCCCCCAAAAAACTTTTGTTTTTCATCAAAGCTTCTTGTTTAAATTTCCTGTCGCAGGTACTTTCATCTCAGCGTTCACGGTGCTGTGCGGAGCACGCAGCGATCTGGTCTCAGAACGAGGAGTCTGCTGTGTGTTCTGGCTCAACGTGGCAGCGGCCCTCATCCAGATCCTGACAGCTGTTATCATGGTGGGGTGGATCATGAGCATCTTCTGGGGAATGGACATGGTCATCCTGGCAAGTCAGTAACTTTCCATCTGTTGCCATCCTTCCTCTTCTCTGTTTCTTTATTCTTCATGAATCAACCGTTTAAAATGTGCACAGCATGTATCCATTTAAAGCTATTCATGGTTTAAAACTGACAAAACCTACACTAGCACAACTTTCTCAGTTGGTATTCATTTAACATGATGAATAAAAATGTACAATTATTTTTGGGAGAAACAATAAAAGTGAGGAAAAAACTAAATTAAATTATGAAAAACAGCCTAAAGTTATTATCCTGATACAATATTCACTACCGACCTCCAGTGTTTTAAACATGACCATTTTACATGAATTCACTCATGTGAATGACACAATCTGACACACTCTGCCCTGCAGCCCACTCTGTGCTAAATGTGTAGAAAATCAGTGCTAAAAATGATACTTAAGGTCAGAGTTTATGTTGTGTCACAACAGAAAAACAGATCTGAAAGCAGAGAAATTTGTTTTGCTTTCTAAGTCTTTTGTAAAATGACACGAGGAACAGAACTGGACCTTCTGGTAATTACTCATCAAATTTTTGACTTCCATTCCAACCACAGTTATTGATCCTGTAACATCTGCAACAAATAATCATGCTTTCTGTGATATTAGGGTTTGATTTTGGAGAAAAGTGGTCAAATTCATGATGTCATTTCTCCATATGTGGCCCAGGCAAGAAAGTCTGCACGTTTCTTTAGATCTTCTGCAGTTTGTATTGAAGTCAAAAGGTCAACCTGACCGCTGATAAGTAAATAAAACACCGTCTTACTCTCTTACTGAACTCAAACATGTAGAAAACAAAAACAGTTAGTGCGTTTGTGTACGTGGCTGGAGCCCAGGTACCATCTTACCAGGTAAGTCGGAGGGACTTTCCGGCCTGATCAAGTTCAGTAATTTGTTGGTACAGACTATCACAGAACGATGTTGGGGGTGCAGAAGCAGTAATAGAAACAAAAAGAAGGAGAAAAAATTGTGAATTTCTTGTGATTTGGGGTATTGGGATCATTTTGTCAACTTTTTTGTTGGAAAGTGACGTATTCTTCTTTGGGAATGATTCATGAACATGTGCCGACACACACACACACACACACACACACACACACACACACACACACACACACACACACACACACACACACACACACACACACACACACACACACACACACACACACACGTGTTTTTATGGGTTTGTGTGGACTACGTTTTCTGAGTTGTTTGTGTGGACTCTGACTTCCACTATAGCCAGAATGGTGCAAAAATTATGTTTAACTCTAGGTGGGACAAAGGAAGCTTCCTCTAGGATTTTGGTTGTGTGGACCGGGTAAATGTCCACACAATGGTGAATGTCTACACAATGTTGGTCTCCCGTCAGGAGTTGGTCCACACAAACCCATAAAGACAAGTGCACACACACACACACACACACACACACACACAGACACACACACACACACACACACACACACACACACACACACACAGACACAGACACACACACACACACACACACACACACACACACACACACACACACACACACACACACAGAGAGAGAGAGAGAGAGAGAGAGAGAGAGAGAGAGAGAGAGAGAGAGAGAGAGAGAGAGAGAGAGAGAGAGAGAGAGAGAGAGAGAGAGAGAGAGAGAGAGAGAGAGAGAGAGAGAGAGAGAGAGAGAGAGAGAGAGAGAGAGAGAGAGTTCCCCCAGCGCACCACGGCAGCCTTTGAATTAACACAGAGCTGCCTCCTTTTGTGAGTCGGTCTGAGCGTGTGTGTGAGGTTCATACAATCAGAGTGTTGCTCATCCACGCCTGTGGGTCTGTGTGAGTTTTAGAGTGAAGAAAGGTGATTTGTCTATATGTGGGTGTGAACAGCCCCCATAAAACCCCCCGTGTGTGTGTGATTTCCTGCTGTGTTTCAGACCTCTGAGTGCTCGCCGTCCTCAACTGTTGATGCAAAAATCTAAACTGTTAGCTGCTCTTTGAGCTGAAATCAGAATTATTATTCAACTAGTTATAACGAAACACCTCAGCAGCTTTGGGACTCATTTCTTTCCATCCATGATGGGTGTGTCTGTATCTCTCTTCCTTTTGTCTCCATCTATCTGATGATTATTTCTATTTGATCCCACCATATTCTTGCTTTCTCTTTTTTCTTTTCTATTCTTCTTCCCACTCCCCACACACTCACCCAAACAGAGTTGTGTTACTGGAAATGCATTCATGCCACCATGTAATGCATCTGTATTAAAAATGAGGTCAGAATAAATGTTTAGCATTCCTCCCCCCTCGTGTTCTGCATTAATGCTCAAAACAAATCATGGCTAACTGTTTATTTGTCTCTTCTCTCTCCTGCTCTGCCCTCCTTTAAAGTTTCTGATGGTAGGTGGTTGTTTTTTCACTGCTTCGCTCAGCCAATTATTCCCACACACATTTTACTTTCACTATATTTAGCCACAGAAAACAGATTATTTCCTGGGCTTCAAATTCATGAAAGAATTCAGATTTTTTGTCTCGTGGTTCTCCATGTGTGCCTGGTATTTTTGCAAAGTTCAGGAGCTTTTAAGCTAAACTCTGACATTCATGGAGGGAGTTGTTTAAAGAGAAAAGGGTAGTGAGTTCTTCTAATGCTTAGTCAGAGTTGCACTTTTAACCCGATAACACTGAAGGTGCTCAGTGTAAACAGTGTGCAGCTTGTGTTTATGCACGTATGTCACATTGAGAGATGTTCTGCTCCAGCTGCACAGTCAGGGCTTGGAAAACGCAGAGGAAGCAGCATTTGGGGGTGTGTGTGTGTGTTTGGGGGTGTTCTGTTTACATCAACCAGGAGGCAGGACATGATGCAGAGTGAAGGATGAGTTTTGAAACTTTAAATTCATCATATCAGACTTGTTTTGATTATTAGAACCACACTTCTCCGAGCACAGAGTTGCTCAGATTCATGTTTCTTTGATCAGTTTCATAAATCCTCAACCAAAACTCACGGCTCTTCCCGGTCAGTGTCAGATGTTTTCTTCAACCCCAGAGTACTGAAGCGTGTATGAAGTACGAACCCTCCTCACTCTGCAACACGTGTCTCCTTTTACGCCTCTCAGCTGTCAAAACGTTTGTGTGCTTGTGCACGCCGCTCACTAACCTGCAGCCTGCTGTCACTGCTGCACCTCAGCTAACAATGCTATGGGGTTAGACCCGTGCCAAAACCCGTGCACGCGGAGCACGCGGTTTTGGCACGGGTCTAACCCCATAAAACGCTTCCACTTAGCCTCTGTTTGGCCGTGATCAGCATCTTTGTTCTCAGATATGATTTATGCATTTTTTTAAACTTCTTCAGGTTGTAGAGATCAGGGTGTTCCCCAAGATGTGTGAGAGAGGTCGTCGTCACGATCGCTGACTGATGGAACCAACTGCTGGACCCCTGAAGCCTAACAGCTCCCGTCATGATGAAAGAGAAGCAGAGACATGGTTTATAAAAGGAAAAGGCAAATCTTTGAGCTATGGCAGCAGATTGGTCAACATCGGACTGGATTTACAGGTTAATGGGAAAAAAGGTGAGAAATAGATCAGTGTATTTATTTTTTGAGTATTGGAATTTTGTTTTTATTATCTTTAATTTTGCCAAACTCACTTTGTGTTCCTGATGAGCTCCGGCACACGTTTTCTTCCATCCTAGCTTACCTTCAGTGTTGATTTCCACCATGTTTTTTTCAATAATTCATAAACGATGAAAATGGAAAATATTTCTTTCTTTCTTTCGGTCTTTATTTTGGTTTATAGCATTAACATAAATTTTTTCTTTTCAAACAAAACAACAATATTAACAACTTGAAGTTAAACCAAAAAAGGAATAGGCAGAAGCAATGCTTATTTTAGCCTACCCTATTTTCCACCTAAGATACATAACCAATATACATTTCTTTTATTTACCCCAATATAAATAACCACAATGAAAATTCATTAATGTCTATACATACTTTTCATATCCTGTAAATATATGACACTTTACACCTGCTTTAAACTTTAGTAAAGAAGAACATTTCTTCAAATCATCATCTAACTCATTCCACAGTTTCACACCAACAACGGAAACACATCTTGATTTCATATTCAAACATAAATACACCTCTGAGATTATAATGATCATCTCTTGGTTTGAAATAAACTTTTATGCAATTTGGGATATTATTATTAACTACTTTATGAAGAATCTCTAAGATTTTTACTTTAATATTTGAGCACAGGATCAAAAATTCATCAAGGATCTATTATTGTCACCCTTAAAACACGAGTTCAGTGATTCACAATCAATTTATTGGCTACAATGAGTTTCAGTTTCATTCATTTCCTCGTCGTTTGTGCAAAATTCTTTTCAAAACGACTCACTCTTCCTAATTTGACTTGAATTTTCATACCTCCTAAAAGTGGAAACCAGTGCCAAAGGGATATTTACACATTATTCCAGCTCCAAATCTAATTATCAAGTCTCTAAATATCAGCGACCTCGACTGTCACGCCCACGCTGAAAATCAGGCTTGGAACGGAAAAATATGCAACTCTGAACCGTGTTTAATCAAACTGAATAAATGTGTGTTTGGTGTGATGTAAAAAGCAACACGTGAGTGTTGATGTGAAATATTCATGTGAGCACGCTGTTGGAGGCTGGAGGATAATATGTTATGGCACTGGTCCCAGAATGTAAAAGGGTATTAAGCTAAAATGTTAAGATATGCGTAAATCATCTGCATGAAATTTCCACAGGAATTGTGGCTCCAAACTCCAACTTTCCCACAATCCATCAGCCTTTTCTGTGTGGCACAACTGGCTTTTTTCCATGAACAATAAGCTCGGGCATCAGAGGTCAAACATCCCAAAACTCAAAACAAATCTGTTAGATGAACGCTGTCTGAGAGGACGTTCCTCCGTGGATGGTAAAGCATCCTATCACTCCTGCCATTTTAAGTACGTTTTAGGTAATAAACAGATAAAACCTTCATCTTCTAACAAGTAACTATCACACTAGCTCCATGCTACAGTTAAACAGTGTGTTTAATCCAAATCCATTTGTGAAAAAGCCACTTCTCACACAAGAAATATGTAGAAATGTTAACAGGGCTTCAACACAAAATGAAAAATGAACAGAAAAATATACCAGAAAACTTTAGATGAACTCTTATCTAAATTTTATTACAGTTTTTATGTCTTTTTATGTAATTTATTTGAAAAAGCTGCTTTCGGCTCATCATATATCTGCTTTCGGCAGATCATATTAGAATTGAAAAAAGCGTCATTAAACTGCATAAATATGATTATGCTTTTTAAAAAGTAAAATCATATGAATGTGTCTGTTGTCTGTTTAGATCTGACTAAAGGCACATTTGCATGTCGAAAACTGAATTTTAGTTGGATAAGACCTTAACATCTGGTATTCATTCCTGTTTGCTGATGGTTCAATAAATACAGAAATGTTAAAGAGATACTTTGCAACTTTTTCAGATAATTTTCTTGAGCCAGTATGCGCTAAAATGACCCTTTACGAGGTTAACGAAAGGCCACCTAGCCCCTATTGTCCCATGTGACCAGAACATTCCCATTGCAACTTCAGACTGGCGGACGCTCCGTTGGGACTTGAGCTGACATACCTGGCGCTGTGGTCTGCTTCCAGCAAGTTTCCTGCATGTTTTGGATTAGGAACAGGAGAGAAATTTCAGTTGTTAGATTAAGGTGTTAAAAAGACAAACGCACAGCGAGGAGAAGGGGTTTTCTTTCGGTTCTACAAGTGGACACTAGGGGGTGCTAAAAGCAAGCCTAAACTTGCTGTTTAAATATTGCAAAGAAAGGGATTAAAATAATCATCGTGATTTTTTTAACCAAACTCCCATTTGGTGCTTTCATGTTTCACCTTTATTTTTATCTGAAAGAATAATAATTCAGCTTAGAGTGTTTTATTTATTTATTTTTTTGCTCATCTTGGGACCTTCTCCATCCAGATGACAACCACAACAACGCTTTTCTGTGCTGTACAGTGTTAATCTTTGAGATTGAAGATGATGATGATGGCTGTAGTAGTGATCATATCTCATGCCTTGTTTATGAAATGCTGACGTGCTTTTATTTTGTTGAGGTTCTACATCCAGATTTATAAAATAGTTGTCATATGGACACATTATTAAATATTATTTACTATTTTATAATGTGATTTAAGGGATTGTTGTAATAATTTGGTTTAAAATACCATTGTGTCAGTCTTTGTTTTTTGTTTTTGTTTTTTTTTTGGGGGGGGGGGGGTGTTGTTTATTTTAACAGTAGAATAAAAAGTGTGTTTTTATTTCTTTCTGCATGCAGATCGTTAGCGTCAAAGGACTAAAAACATGTATGGTTACACACACACTCTGTCAAGATTAAATTAAAAGTTGATTGTGTAGTTATTGGTGCCAATTTTGAATAAATTCAGACGAAGTAAACCAAAAATCCCCAAATCCATATTGGTTTTGCCTCTGATAAGTTAGTTTTATTTACTCATAATTTTTTTTACATAAATCAGAAATCAGGAGGATTCTTTAGAGTCACAGTTTTGTTTGAGACTGACATTTTTCCAGCAGTATATTCACATTTACATGGAAATAAATGAAATGTTAAATTCTATTTGACTCATGAATAAAAGTATCTGTTTAAATGGAATTTCTTTGACCTTTTCAGCCTGATTTCCAACACTTACGCAGCACGTGTACGCAGATGGAGTTTGACAGAGCAGATAGGCGATTGCAGAAAGCGTTTTGTTTTTGCAGGAAGACCAACAGATACAGCACAACATGCTGGCTGAAAAGGAAAAGGTGTTTGGATGACCAACATGCACCGCAACCCACTTTAGATTAGATCCAGCCAGTTAAACTCACTTCCTCAATCACATCAAACTGCCAGCATTTAACCCCTGTTTCCATGGCGATATGTCTTGTTAACTCCCCGCTCTGTGATGATAAATCTAAAATAGTGATTGAGGGAAGCAGTTTGAGCTGAAATGATTGTGCTGACTGTCCCCTTTAAGGATTTGTTACTGCTGGGTGCACGTCATCCTCCCAACACTCCCCCTCAGCCGTGTAAACACCACCCTGATCAGTGCTGATTATCTGGACCGTTCTCAAGCCCTGAAAGCTGTCAAAACACATCCCGATCACTGAGATTTTCTGCTTTCAAAGAGGTTAAGGTGACAATTCAAATCATGTGGAAAACTCAAGCTAATTTGTCCAAATCTGCAGATTCAAACACACAATTTACTAAATCTGTAGAAAAGGAATGTCTAAATGTGAATTGCAAACTGAAAATATGAATTACATTTAGAATTGCAATGACATTTTTCAATGAATGGTATTTTTACCTCTAATCTCTTCATTAGTGAAAACAAACACCTCCATTTACAGCTTTCTAATAACAAACGCTTATTTTGTGTGGCTCTATTTCTGGGTGGTGGTAGTATTTTCTGAGCTACTTACTGACAGCAAGAAACAACTCAATTCTCTTTCATTAAAAATTTTAAATCTGTTATTTAAACCCAGCATTATCGTGTGTTTTGGTTTAAGCTGCGAACAGTTTAACTGAAGCGTTTTCAGACTTGAGCTTTGTGTAAAAGTCTCTGCAGGGCCTAATTAGATCACTGATGCTCGGTGTAATCTTCTCTCCTTGTTTCTTCCAGATCTGCTTACAGGGGTATTATCTAATAAAGAAGATATTGCATCTTATATTATTTAAAGTGCATACAACCAGCTGTGTTCTGAATTATTATCTCCCTGGCTTAGGGGCTGCTCCTCTCATTTGATAGCTCTAAAATCTGTCATCGTTATGGTGAGGGCATGCTGTCATCTGCTGGACACTAGCATGAACTGCAACAAGATAATAATAATAATAATACTGCATTGAACTTATATAGCGCTGTTCTAAAATAAAATGTTTTATTTTATTTTAATTACCTTAAAAGACTCAAAGTCTCTTTTTACACTTTATATTTATTTAATCAGGATCGTTGTCAAGTCGACGCCAGAAACAATGAAACACAACTTGAATATTAGAGGAACAACAAGGCTTTATTCAACCAGCATTCATACAAGTTATCAATCATGAACAAAACATTTCTCTTACCGTTGCTTATGGGTGGAGAGCTGAACACCCCAGTTAGAAAACGTAATCCATGAACCTCGTCAAATAGAATCCTTCAAACAGCTCTAACCGCTCTGAGCTCTGCTCTGCTCCTTATACATTCCCTGATGTGCGTGCAAAGCTGCACACCTCCACCAGGATTACCTTGATTACATCCTCATGATCACATTATGTTCGGCTCTCCTTGATTACATCCTCATGATAAGTGTGATTGACAAACAGTAGTGATCAATAACTTGTATAAAGCAATTATACAACAGATGACAAGTTCATTTTTATTACATTCCACTCTTGAACTTTTCATCTAATTTATGTAACATATCCATCACCATTTCCCCATCAAAACCAACGTCATTTATAACATACCTTGTAGTTCCACTTTAATTTTCATCGTAGTCTTTGCATTATTACCCAATTTATTTCTCTTCTTAATCGAATAACATACCAACAAATAATAAGATTACACAATGTTAGAATGCTGATTATAATTAATGCTGCAATCATAGGTGGAATTAGCACTTTATTAGCGGTACTCGACATGCCTGTAAATATATCCCACCAATGATGAGCGGAAGCCTGTTCAATCAATGTAGCAACATGTTTTATTTCCCCTTGTGCCACAAGAGTAGACACCATAAGCCTGGAAAGGTTGGACCTATGAGAGTCAATCAATTTTGCCACTTCAGTGGAACCATCCAATGCGCATTTGAATCGTTCCAGTGAGAGTGTCCAAGGGGCCCATTGTATCTTAGTCAGCCGACTAGATACAGTGTAATTACTCAACCAATAGGTCACGTTATTCCATTCCCACATATGTATACCCTTGAGACAACCTGAAAAGGGAACTGAAGGTACCTGTGGGGAATTGGTCATTGTAGCCACGCATAAGGTGTTAGGACCCACCTGCCAAAACTGTTCCTCTGGGGGTGTGACCGTCCAATCACAGAGTACGACCCTTGAATCAGTGAAACATGGATTGCTATGTCCTTTTACCAATGGGCAGGCTAAACCCTTATCAGTCTCATCACAGTGTTTTACTTCATATGTTCGATTTGTTTTAACATCCCACCACTCTCCACTAACATGGAGATACCAAAACCCTTTAGTGGTTATCACCGGCAGTATCTGATATCTACACACAGTCATTACTGATGTCATATTATACTGATCCCAGTATCCAGTACACATAGATTTATTACAAATCGTCATTTCTGCATGTAGCTGTAGCCATAATGAACTACTGATGTTCCATAATGTTCGCCATGCATGATAGTTATTACTCATTACCTGTATTTGAAACCTATTTCTCTGTGTCTCAGCATGAATAGTCTGCAAGGAACAGACTGTCCAATTACCTATGTGTGACAAATTATGCAATGCATCATAAGTTTCATTCCAAAGCTTTAGATTCCATTTAAATACACTTTTCCACACATCACTTCCTTCTAGCTGACTAGATACAGTCGAAGGCATCCATCTTGCAGTCTTGGTGACAGCTTGTGCGGTGTATTCTCCAGTGTTGGACAGCATAGTTCGTGTTACCTCATTGTTTGCTGTGTTAGCCAGACCATACAAAGTTCCAGTTCCTCCTAGCACGGTGTCATACCATGCTCGCCTCCTCCTGTTGCAAGGCGGAATAGGAGGGAATTTCACAGTCCATCGCACATATTCGGCTACCCTTATTTGTCCCATTTGTTGACAAGTGTGAACCAGGGGAGCTACAGCTGTCTGCGTAGCTCTAGCTGTGTCGGGCAGCACCCAGAATATGTACAAATAGGCGCGTCCTCCTGTGATTACAGTTCCATTCCTGATCCGGAAATCGCGATCAACCTTCATACTCCAATTTGTGCCATTTTGTATGCAAGTACCATTCCCCTGATGGTATGCACAGATGCACGCTGCAGAATTAAAGGTTACTGTTGATCCTTGAACCAACACCCCCGGGCTGATCACCCTTCCTCGGATTTTAAGACATCCTCTGCACCGGTACATCTTACCGGTAGATGTTAGGTTTCCCAAGTAGCAAGCGTCATTTGCTCTGCATGTGAATGTGCCTTGAGTGCGGTTGGACATACTGCTAACCAATTCCAGATGGCCCATGACCCCTTCTTCCAACACTTGTCCTTCCGTGAGCCCCCAACAGAAATGTGCCCTCAGTGCGATGACAGCGAGGACATGGAGGACGATGACCAAACATCCGACACCACCAGGTCCGTGGAGCCCATCCATCGCCTCGACAAGGGTTCAATCCTTTTGTAGGGGAAGGGGACCCAGTCAACCACCGTCACTCAGACACCCGCCTATGGGATACATACAAAACTGCAGATAGAATGACAAGCATTAATTTTCTCTCCTGTAACATTTGTTTATCGGAATATTAATCCATTTTTCCTCTCCGGGGAACAATACACTTACCACAGCATCTTTTCCCTGTGCAATAATCTCTCCAGCTCTGGGAGGACCATTGAGCTGCTCCACCCACACTTTTGCCCCCGCAGTAAAGTCTGATGATCCAAACCCAGTTTCACCCCTCTGAGTGATAGTGGTAGGTTTAGTAATCTCTTCAACTTTGGACATTACACACCGTTTGATTACTAACTGAGCTATCTTGTCTCCTTTTTCCAGTACCAACGGTTCTTTACCTGTATGCTGACACACCACACCTATTTCCCCTTGATAGTCTGAGTCTATTACCCCAGCTAAAATGGTTAGACCCCTCAAAGCTAAACCACTTCTTGGACACACATGAGCATAAGTTCCTGGTGGACATTGAATTCCCAATCCTGTTTTTACCACTGTCACTTTATTGGTTACTAAAGTGATGCTTTCCAAGATTTTAAGATCTAATCCCACAGAGCCCGCAGTTGCTCTAACAGGGAGTTCTGCCTCAGAAGTTAGTTTCCACATTCGTATAGGAGGGTCAGTAGAAGTTGTTTCCCTTCCTGCCCTGGCAACCATTAGCATCAGTGGAGTAACTCCATCCCCCACGGGTCTGTTATTTAACTGATGTACTGCCCTAGTCAGATTTTCTCTCCATTTGTCCAAAGAATTAGTAACCGATAGTTTCCTTAGTTTCTCTTTCAGTAACCCATTCATTCTCTCAATGAGTCCACTAGCTTTCGGGTGATATGCTACATGATAGATCCATTCTACCGCGTTGTTCTCTGCCCATTCTTTGATCTTATTTCCAGTGAAATGGGTACCATTATCAGTCTGAACCTGCAAAGGTAGTCCATAATAGGTCTCTATTAATGACAGACATTTCAATGTAGCCTCCTGATTGGCGTTATGACACGGATGCACCACCAGTACCCCTGACACCGTATCCACGGCTGTACATGCATACTTACAGTTTTTACTTTTTGGCAATGGTCCAATGAAATCAATCTGCCAACACTGTCCCGCTTGTTTACCTCGATGTATCTGTCCCTGTATATGTCGAGGGATTCTCTTTTTCTGATGTTGACAAGGTTCACAATCTTCTATGGCAGTTTTAATATCATCAATGATGAGATCTATTCCTCTGTCCC